CTACTGGCTCTCGAGGAGAGGGATTGTGGTTGTTCGCTTTACACGTCACTCTTTGTGACGTACAAGGTGGAGGCGGGGAAAGGGAGGCGGGACGAAGGCAAGGCAGCAGACGCTGAAACTAGGAGCCGGTAGGGGTTTTCGCGCAGGCGCGTGCAGTCACCTGGGTTTCCTGGGTTCCCCGCATCCCTCTGGCCCACCTGGGTGGGGTCTTTTAGCCCACTGTGAGAGCGGCCTTGGAGCGTAGCGTAGGCATGGGCCCAGAGGGCGTTGTTGAAGAAGTGATTTCCCACTTGCAGGGTAAGGGCCTAGGGAGAGTCATCGAAGGAGGGGCCAGTGAAGTGTTCTCCTATCCAGCCGCGGGGGTGGTTTCCTGAGCCGCGTGGCTCCTGGGCCTTCCCTGCACCACTCCGGAATGCTCCTCCCGCCGGGCAGGGCCCTCCCACGCCCAGCTGGCCCGGCTTCCAATACGAGGCCGGTTGGTTACATCAGGAACCTTAAATGCTGGACTTGAGTTCTTTGGGGCTTTTCAAGGAAATTAATCTTTTCTTCCTCCAAGACGTTCTTCCCACAATATTGTCCGGGTGATCCCACACAGTGGCTACCTTTTATAGGGGTTTATTTTTAAATGGTGTGTTAAAAACAAATCTTATTACCTTACTTCATCTTAGGCTCTGACCGTCATCCCGCCCCACCCCGCTCCCCTTTACCTCCACCCCTTTGGTACCAGGTGGTCTCCCCAGGTTAGTCTTAATCACCTGCGTTGTCTTACAGAGGTAGAATGTGAACAACATAATGTAATTTTAAGGTTTCTAGTGTCCCCATTATACAAAGTAAGAGGAAACAGTTTTAATAAATATACTGAGCTCAGTATGTTAAACATTATCATTTCAACATGCAATCGATATAAAATTATTGATATATTTTATAGTTTTTTTGCGCTAAGTCTTTGAAAATGGTGTGTATTTTACACTAGGATATCTCAATGTATGTTTGCTTCACACTAGCCATATTTCAAGTACTGAGTACTAGTAGCTCTAGACCTTGATTTTTGAATTATAAATTGAGATCCTTTCTATTTTGGATTTATTATATCTTTCTCCCTCAAAATTGTTTCTTATGTGTTGAGCTTGAATGAGCACAGACTTTTCTAAATTGTCTAGGGTGTTATGAAGACACCCTGAGAGAGTCCAAGAGAAGGCTGAAACTATGCCTTCTATTTCTCAGTTTTGTGCCCTATGGCCATGTGCACAATTCTACTTCAGTTTATCCACCCCTCCAAAGGCATAGAGAATTTTAGCTAACATTAACCTTTCCTCTTACTCCACTGTTTCCCTAGTCCTTCTATAACCCTGTATGTTGCTTCTCTAACAACTCATTTGTAGCAGTAGCCTCTGGAGCAGTGATTTCAACCCTGGCTGTACAACAAAGTCAAGAAGAGCTTTTAAAAATGGTAACTGCAGAGCAGGAAGAAGCAAACCCTGGATGCTGGGATTAACTGCATCTAGAGTGGGAACCTGGACATATTTTTAGAGAACTACACAGGTTGTTCTGAAGCTCACCCAGAGTTGAGAACACTGATCCAGGGTGTGAGTTTTGGAGTTTACAGGAGTAATCTTGCCATTTACTGAAAAGTGATCTTTTTTTCCCCTACCTTCCCAATTAGGTACAATTTTCACTGATTTACTATATCTACACCCCTTTGGTGATATACCCCAAGGACATAATGTTTCATGGCAGCTTAATAAAGGTACTGATTTTCTTTTTATATTTACCAGTGAATAGCTTGTATAACTAGACATTTACTTATAGAATATGCAAATATGCTTGCCGTCTTATATTTCTGTTTAAACAATAATCATTATTTGAAGGGTAGATTTCTCTAGCAAAGCAAATCTCATTTCAAGGGAGAAAGTAAACTAAAACACAAAGCAGCACTCCCAGGATATTTTTGTCAGGAGGAAATGCATAGCAGAATTACAAATGAAACTCAGATGTTCCTTTCTTTACCTCTTTTCATGAGTTGTCATTTAATGCTCACCCCTGGTCTTATGTTCTCTTCCCAAGGACTCAAAGCAAAAGCTGTAGCAGGAGTGATAGTTCCCCACACATTTTCTTTTTGAGAGGGAGAGATGTAAAGAATAGATTCCTGTAGATAAGGTCCATTTGGCTAAGATTTTTAAAAATGCCAAGTGGTTTAATTTATGTGTTCATAATATAAAAATTGCTTTCTGCTTCATTCTCATATAGTAAATGAGGTTTCATAAGTTCCCATACACAAATGTATACATTCATGCATTAATTTAGATTTGATCAATACTGTGATTTATGAACAAGCTAGGAGTTATTGAAGCTTGGAGACCTTCCCATTTGGATCTAAATTTATTGTTTTGTATTAAATCTTGCTTATGAAGCAAAGTTAAGGTTTTCTTTTGCTCTAAATATATGACTGGGATTCTTTCATTTAAATCCGTTAAACACAGCAATCCCCTTCACCCTCCCCCAACCACACAGCATATTAATTTGCATCTGAATGAGTTTTCTCTTTCATTCCTATGCTGTTATAACATAGGTTGATAACACTGCTGTAGAAGTGTTGCTTTGAAGATCTTAGGACAAAAAGGAAACTACAGAAGTGGCTACATTTTATCAACTAGCAGGCTGCCTGCTAAACTAGCCTTAAGGCTAGTTTAAAAATGGAACTGTAATGATATTCAGGTTGGACCAGTTGCAGACTAAACTAGACATTAACAAAGATGTTTGTCCTAGTAAGAAAACCGAGAAAATTAGATGCTAACTCTGAAGCAATGCTGTAAAGACAGCCACAAAAGCATGGTGAAAGATTTGGCTGACACCCTCACTTAGAACCCCAAAAGAAACATCTGCTTTGTTTTCAGGCAGGATGGGTTTCTTTATGGTAGAATGTCCCTTGGGAGCAGCAATACCCAGCTCCATAGGTCTTCCTCAATGAACATGTCATTCTCCTGCTTGCAATGGTTCCCAGCTGTCTAGGAATAAAGTTTCCTACCTGGAATACCAGGCCTTCCACCCTCTGGGACATTCTTCCAAGTGCTCAAAATTGTTACATAAACACACTCAAATCTCTCCTATATTAACAAATAGGAACTCTTCCTTGATGCTACATCCACCTCTTGGGGCCACTTTTCTCTACTCCAAATCAACTTCTCCAACAGCTGCCTGCTCTCCTTTGCTGCACACTGCAGAGCGCCTGCGGGCTCTTGCCGCGTCATTGAAATTATCTTCATCTTGTCCTTGTATCCAGTGAGCACTTTTTATACTTATTCCACTTAACCTTTCCATGGCAGGACTGACACTAATGACTGCTCCTCAAAGCACTGTCTTCCTTTGCCTTCCTTCTGCTTTCTTTCCTATTCCATAGTCCTGCCTCAGTCTCCTTCGCAGGCTTAGTGTTCCTATCACTCTTGGGTTATTTATCTAGGATTTGTCTTGGGCCTGCTTTCTGCTTACTCCATACTCTCCACCTAAACATCCTATCCTTTCCTAAGATTTCTGCTACCTTGTTGACAAGTTGCAGACCTATATTGTCATTCCTGATCTCTCCATTGAGTGCCAGACCCAGAAATCCACTGTTTTATGGATGTCTCCACTTGGCAGTTAAAATTCAACCTCAACTTCCCAAACTGAAATCTCAGTTAAAGTGCTTTTCAGCTTAGTATTAGATAGCACCACTATCTATTCAGTTCCTCTGGCCTTGAGCCTGGTGACCATTCTTGACTTTTCCTTCATCCTCCATAGCCAGTCAAGGCCAAATCCTGTGACTTATACCTCTCAACTGTCAAATCCATCTGTCTTTGTCCATCTTTACCACTACTACCATAGTCTAGGCCACTATCATTTAGACCATGATCTATCACAGTAGTCCCCCAAACAATATTCTTACATCCAGCCTTGCTTTCCTCCAATTCATTTTCCATGCTGCAGCTGAAATGATTTTAATTCAAATTTACTCCACCCACTTCCCTGCTTAAAACCTTTGTTGTTGTCCTTAGGGTAACATCCCAGTTTCTTAACATTACTTAGAAGGTCTTCTACATCTGGGCCGTTTACCTCTTTAACCTCATTTCATGCCATTCTTCCCCTTGCATTCTTGGCCTCAGCCATAGAGACATTCTAGGAGCCATTCATGTATTCTACGTACTCCTATTCTGCCTCTAGGCTTGGAATATGGCTCTCTTCTGCCCACTCTTAGCTTAGCTAACTCCTACCTGTCTTTCAGAGCTCAGTTTATGTATCACTTCCTCTAGGATGTCCTCTCTAAACTTCTAGGTAAGGTTACGTGGCCTTGTAGTAGGAGCCAATTGCATCCTGCATGTCCCTAGCCATAAGCTACCTACCTTGTTTAATTGTCTCTCTTCTATTTTCATTCCAATGAAGACA